TTTACGGTCCATTATCTAGCTTTTACTGAAAATTAGCTCGTGTTGCAATCTCTCTGATGACGTGCTTGATTTTGACTGAACGGTTCAGTCGGCCCATCTCGGGACCAGGTGGCCGGCCGTTGCCGACTGGGCCAAATGCTTAACATTTATTTATTATTAACATTATTATTATTATTATTATAACCATAGATAAATCGTTCAAGCGATAAAAACCTGTCCTATGCGCTGTTTGTCCCGTAAAAACAATTTTATTGGTATATATTTAGAAAAAATCTGACCGGCCCACAGTAAACAAAATGGTCCGGCATTTGCCAGAATTGCCAGATGGCCAATCTGCCCCTGCTCCCCACGTTACAATAACCTTCAGGTTCTACTTTTATACCAAAGATTTTTTTGTTTTTAGTAACACTGGCAAATTTGTTCAAGTACAATTAAAAATGTGATCTTGGGGAAAACTTGGGAAGACTGAATCCAAATAGCAGTTTATTAACATACAGTAAGGAGCACAGAGGGTAAACGCTCAAACAGAAGCATTACAATATCATCGCTCAGGTTTGTTATAACTCTATTGAATACACAATGACTCGAGTCATCCCCACAATTCAACACTTATCATTCAACTGGACTTAAATAACTTGTCTATTGTTGAGAAAATGGTGTTGTCACACAGGCATGTTGCTCTGCTCAAAATATAGACTAGTTTTGCAGCATTTGAAAGGGTTGTCCTCAGGAATAGGCCAGTCACGATCATACTCATCAGAGTCAGACTTGTCGCTGCTATGAGACAAAAAGTTTGTTTCAGGGTTCTCCCGGTGTTTATTTAATAACATAACAAGTAACAGTAGTAACAGGTTGATACTAACAGTACCGCATACCTGGTGTTGCACCATCCCACTGGAAAAAGTACCAAATTTTTTCACCAATAATCAAATTTCTCCAAATTTGATTGTAGAAGTATGCCCAGTCTATGGCAGTCAAAAGCACATAATCGGATGTATATTATTGTATCCATCTTATATCCATGTCATGATTCTGTCACTTCGGTCTAGTTTATTCATGGTTTTGTGACAGAACCCTGACACTCCCGTCATGTCGTTGTTTTCGTGTGAGCGTGCGGCTTCGAGAGTGCTTCAGCCGTGCGCTCTCGTCTACGTGTCCTGTTTCCTTGTTTCATGTTGGAGTGTGGTGTTCGGATCCTGGCACTCATGTCTTGTTGATTTTCGGTTTTGTGTCGGGGTTCGGACACTCGCGCTCCATGTTCTGTCCTAGATCGCTCGGGCCGTGTGCTCTTCTGTCTGCGTGTGCTGTGTCTTGTGTAGCACGCGGTTCGTGTTTTTCATTGGCTGCGTGCTTTCATGTTGTCATGTCTTGTGTGAACACGCGGCTCATGAGTATTCTCATTAGCTGCGTGTTCATGTCTTGTTTTGTTCAAGCACATGGTTTGTGATTGTTTTGCTGGCCATGTACTTTTGTATTTGTTTCCTGTGTGCCATGTGCTCTCTCATGTCAATTGTCTTGACCCCACCCATCTTGTTACCTGATTATTGGTTAATTTGCCCCACCTGTGTTTCCCTCATTACCCTCCTCACTTGCTCCCTATTTATTCTCCTTGTGTTTACAGTCCTGTGCCAGTTTGTTGTCGTATGTTCCCCAGATGTGTCCTGTCCTGTCCTGTCCTGCCTTGCCTTGCCTTGCCTTGCCGTGCCATGTCCTGCCTTGCCGGTTTTATACCAGCCTGTTTTCCCCCTCGGGGTAGGTTTTGTTGTTTTTGTTTTATTTTATTATTAATAAAGCCCATTCTCCTGCACCATTGAGTCCTCGCTCCATCCTTCACCCCCATCCCCTGACGTTCCGAGCATAACTACGTGCCCCTAAACCTTATTTAAATACAAAATTCTGAATGTAGGTAGGCAGGTGTCAAACAACCAAGGATGTGATTCAGCGAGAATCACATTTAACGAGATATTATCTCCTAAATTATTATAGGTTGTCTTGCAAGCTATGCATTAAACATAGCTTGTACACTGTATTTTTGTTTTCACCCATAGTAAATAAAATAAAAAGAAAACAAGTAGACAATAGAAATTTATTCTGAAAAGAATTATTAAGAAATGATCTTACTTGATTTAAAAACACTACCCCCACGTATATAAACTAGTATAATATGATAATATAACATTTATGTCTTGAGTGAAGATAGCGGTTTAAAGCAATATTTTATACTATAGAGATCTGTACGTTTATGTTCATTTCAACATATTTATGAACACTGTTGCAGAATTTGTCTTAGTGACATTCAGTGCAATATTTTATTAAAAGATAACACAGAGGACTGTTTGAGTAACACTCTCATCTCCGTCACATTTACTGTCGAGATTTCACCGCTTACAGGCACCCAACTACCCGGAACCTGTAACTCTCGGTTGTCCCAACAGTCTTTATAGCAAGCATGCACAAAACACTCTTCACATACATGTAAAAGAGCAGGTACAAAGAATACGGAAGGGACAATACTCT